TCTCTCTCTCTCTCTCTCTCTCTCTCTCTCTCTCTCTCTCTCTCTCTCTATATATATATATATATATATATATATATATATATATATATATATCTCTATTTTTCTAGGCTGTTCCTCTTTAACGTGGGTTTTGCACAGTTTCACGTCTCAGATTTGTTTCGACTGTGGTGCCACTGCCATTGAAATCCACTCGTATAAAGCCATGTTTAGATCTGTGAAAACGCTATAAATCGAGAAATCACTGTTCTTTATCTTTTTGTTTTGTTAAAGAAACATAACAAAACGAAAAGGGAAAAAAAAACAGATGGTTGAAAAGGAGAAAGTTAAGGGAGAGAATCTGAAAAAGCTCTACCTCGTAAAATTCGGCTGCCTCCTGATATTTGGCTGCACATTGTGCACATGCTTACCCAACTCCTTTCACTATGACTTTTCTGGTTCCTGCTCCTCTTCATCTCCTTGTCCTCCTCCTCTATCCCCTCCTCCTCCTCCTCCTCTTTGTTTGTTCTCATTTTCTTCGTTTTGCGCTGGTTTGTTGGTTGGCTTTTGCATAAGCAGGGTTACCTTTCAGCAAGCAGTGAAGACAGCACTGATCGCCTTTTGAGGGAGAGAGGAGGTGGTACTCTTAGTGACTACTGTCTGTACTGTCGCCGGGAGCCGAGGGACGTGGTGGTTCTTCCTTGTGGGCATCGCATAGCGTGCGTCCGATGTGCAAGTTGCCTCAGTTCCTTGTCGTATCTTATGTGCCCACTTTGCGGCAGTCAAGTCACGGCGACTCATGAGGTGGCCAAAGGTCAAAATGCACCTGGACATGGACCAGGTCTGTTTACAAATAAGCCCACCGGCGACTTCCTCGCTGCTGTTCATTCACATTTAGACCCATAAGGTAAGGCTTATGCCATATCTGGTCGTCTACATCATTCGTCCGCTAGAGTCTGTCTTGCACGTCCTACAGGATTCAACTCACTGCTAGAGTCTGGGAAAGCCTACACACAAGAACAGCTCATCATGGTGAGGCTCTGGCAACTGCACCGCTTGCATGTTTCGACATATGATTCTCCTGTGGCGGCGGGGCGGGCACCTCGAGGTCAGCACCACACGGAGATGACGGATCCCGCAGTCGGACAAAGTTTTGGCGTTATCGTTGTGCTCGAACGTGGGCGCATTTGTCTCGTCAACGCATACGTTGCTCAACTTCTGTACAGGAGTCTATACACGTTTCCTGTTGCGCACATCCGACGTGATAGGACTGTGCAATTGCCGATTTTGGCGCAGTGAGGTGGGTGTTGCAGATATTTGCAACAAGAGGACATGGCTGAGTTTACGCGCAGAGGATTCAGAAGGCAGGAAAGGAGAGGTAGGGAACGGAACGTAGGGAAGGAGTGGAGACTGATGATGATTATAGGATGGTGCTACTTGGTCAGTTAGATGATCCTCATGTGTTCAAGCGAGCCAATGGAGAGTTGTTCCCTTGAGTCAACTAATGAGGATACAATGCCTTGCTTGCTGGATTCAGGGCGTCACAACACCACTCTCGAAATGTGCAAAATGAGAATGAACTTCCTGCGAGAACATGGCCAGATGCACCCACCACATTTTTGTCTTTTTCACATTTCGAGAGTGGTGTGGCGAGGCCCTCACTCTCGGGAATCGTCACGTTTCTGCCGAGCCGAGCTGTAAGAAGAAGTTGAGACCTTGGACCTCGCTACATTGCAGAACATCCTAAATGCATCTGGAGCTACAAATGGTCCCGATAGTCAAATGTCCGGTTGGTCAGAATGTATCTGGTCCATTGACAGGTCAGATACGTGTGGTCTGTTGAGTAGAGGAGTGAGGTCCCTTGTCTGTGTTGACGTACATAGGTTTCAACTGGATAAAGCAGCAATTACTAACTTTTCTGGCAATCGATCGGAATGTATCTGGTCCATATGCAGTTCAGGTACATGTCAAATGTTGAGCAGTGGAGCGCGACCCCTTGTAACCTTTTCTGTGTTAAAGTACATGGATTTCAACTCGATAAGCAGCAATTTCTAACTTCTGGCAGTCGATTGGAAGGCATCTGGTCCATACGCAGTCCAGATACATGTTGATTGCTGAGTAGTGGAGTTAGGCCCCTTGTAACTTTTCTGTGTTAAAGTACATGGGTTTCATCTGGATAAGCAGCAACCGCTAACTTCTGGCAATGCCTGCTCCCAGCCATTAAACATATACGTCAGTCCTATGGGGATCCCTCTTTTTTTTTTTTTTTTCCCAAGGGGTTAGCTCCTGACATTGTTGTATTGAACTCATGCTCTGCTCCTCCTCACAGTTGCACTTGTGTACCATGCAGCCACATGGGCTTGGTGACCCTTTTTTCCTCCCACAAAAGCCACTCCGATGGGGTGATCCATTTTTCTGCTGCTGTGTTATCACTGTTATGGTCTACGCTGCTATCAGGTCCATCAGAAGCGGTAGTACAGAAAAGAGATCGTCTGAGTGGGTACGCGTAGAAGGGTTGAGGGTCGAGATTCTCGGCAACAGCTCGCCGAGGAGATGTAGTGAGAAAGTCGATAGCGCCATGATACTAAAACCCGTGTCATCTTCTTCTTCATTTGCGTAGAAGGGTTGAGATTCTCGGCAATAGCTCGCCGAGAGATCATTATCATTTATGATCTGTAGATTACTGATCCGCGCTTTAGGGCGTTTCAGGCCCTGCCAAGCACACACGGCCTCGAACTGGCACCCTCAGCCGCACAGGAACCAAGTCTCTTAACCACTACAGCCCCCAAGCGGTGTTCAAAAGTGGAATGGTACCGGCCATGATATCCAACCCACCCCTGCAGGGCTGTAGTGTCCAACGCACACACACCACACACACACACACCGCACACACACAACACACACACACACCACACACACACACCACACACACACCACACACACACCACACACACACCACACACACACCCCACACAGACATGGCAATCAGTGCACACTTGGTTACAACGCCACGCGGCCCACCACCATTATTTGGGGTGCAGACATCTGCTTACATCCACAAACCTTTGCTTCCACTAATCCCGCATTTTGAGCGCAGCCACAGCAGCAGCAAAGGGGGGTAATTGGTAGATACTAGATACAGCCCACGTTCAATCCTTCTTGGTTTATCGCGGCCAAGTTTTGCCCGTCCGGTAGAGAGCGCGCACGCACGGGCATTGCAGGCTGTCTGATGTTGAAATCTGGCGGTCGGGATTTGGTCCCTCCCCTCTCAGCCTCTTTCACCGGATTATGAATCTGTCCCTGCTGCGCCAGTTTCATTTTTCGGTAGTGCGGGGGATTCGTTTTCCGGTAGGCCTTTTTTTTTCCGTTTCCGATCCGCAAAGTTTGGTTGCGATAAACCAAAAAGGCTTTTGGTGCTTTTTTTTTTGCATGAACTGTATCTAACAGTTATCCATCCCACCAGAGACTCAGAGCGCCTGTCCGGCCGGCCCTGTCGTTCCAAACCATGAACTTTTTCTTCTTCGACTAACCCCACATTTGTTTTTCTGAGCGATTCCTTTTGGATTCGAACTCGCGATCTGTACATCTGCAGTTACATCCACAAACTTTTTTTTCTTTAACTAAACTTTCATTTTGAGTGCGGCCGGAGTGCCCACAAGCCTGTTGTTCCAAACCAACAGTACCCGAGAGCAGGTTTGGGACAACAGGCTCATGGGCCCGCAAGCCTGTTGTTCTACACCAACAGCGCCACAGGGTGGGTTTGCGACGACAGGCTCCTGGGTACTGCTAGGTAGTTTATACAACTCTGCTCGCCATGTGGCGAGCGAGCATGAACGAGGGGGTATTTTGTGCCAGTACTAGGCCGTGTCATTGGAGGACAACAACTGTAAGTTTGTACACGAGTGAGGGCATACTCACCCTAGCTGCTCTATCTTAAATTTATCAGACTGCATTTACGGCCGGACTTGGATGAATCTGACCGCAACTATGTCCATAAACAAGTAAGAAGTGCTACTAGTGTGAGTGTGCCTCCTTGATTGCAAGTTGTGTTGTATGGTGGTTGTAACTTCTAAGTAGTACATTGTCGGCGCTTTCTTACTGGGGTAAAACTTTCGTACTGCGGTAAAACGGTGAATCGTATGGTGATGGTATGCACCGCACATCTGATCTAACGGATCAGTTATCACATCGTGACAATGTGCGGCATTTGTTTTTGTTTCTTTAGCTCTGTTTTCTTTAGCCAAAGCCAGGTAATGCCCCCCCGTAACATGATTTGTTCTGTTTTACATATGGGACGCTGGGCCCGGTTCCCAGCACGTACCGCTATCTACGAATAGATCGGAGCAAATTTTTCTTTGAAGGTCCCTGGTACCTGTAAGTTGCTGTGGTGGACACTTTTTTTTTTTTTTTTTTTCTTTTTTGGACCATTTATCAATTTATGTGTGTCATCCTTGCGCAACGGCCATGGCACCATGCTAATCTTCTTTCTCTGTATCGTTCCAGTTTTAACGGATGTCCCAAAGGACACTGCGGTGGCGGTAGCCAGTGTAGTAAATTGATGCCTGGGAGTGAGAAGTTCCCAGTAGAGAGTGACTGTAAGTTGTCAAGTCGTAGCAACCGTGAGTTTTTAACTTTCTTCGTACATGGTTAATCAGAGCTGTGAGTTTTTACCTTCCTACATACGCGGTAACATAGAAGTTACTGGTGGTGCAGTAGCTGTGAGCTTTTTTTTTTTTTTTTTTTTTTTTTTTTGAGCTGTTGCAGGGGAACTGAGAGTTTTTAACTTTTTATTCATAAAGAAGAGTAGTGAAAGTTACCAGTAAGTAACACACGGTAACTGCGGGTTTATCTATGGTGAAGGAGTTCAGATCAGCACAGTGGCAGCAAGCTGTAATTGTCAGGTTTCCATGTCCGGTAACGGCAATTTGCTGGTAGTACAGTTACCGTAAACTGTTGCAGGGTAACTGTGAGTTTTTTTTTTTTTTTTCCCCTTCGTAGAGAGTAGTAGAAGTTACCATGGTAATTGCAGGTTTGTCCATGGTAAGTATGCGTTCCCATTGGCACAGGAACAGCACCAAGATGTTAACTTCTGCTAGTTCCTGGTGGTACAGTAACTGTAAGCTGTTGCTCAGTAACTTTGGGTTCCTGCATGGGAGTAACTGGAATGTACGACGACTAGAGTAACTCTTTTTTTTTTTTTTTTTTTTTTTTTTGGGGGGGGGGACAAATGCTCCAGTCTACTCGTGGGGAGCAGCACGTGCTGGGAACCGGGCCCAGCGTCCCATATAGGATTACACGAGTCACAACTAGAGTAACTCTCATCTGCTAGTGACCGGAATTTGTCGCCACCTCTTTCCCCCAAACAAAATGTCCCAGTCATTCTGTTGGTAACTTCAGGTTTCCACATTACTCCAAGGTACTGATGGTACAGTACTGTTTCCTGGGATGCGAGAAAGCCCAAATCCTATGGAATGAAGTAGAGCTATTGTGGAGCAAGCTCTCCAGTAAAATAGTACAAATTAGCCCTGGCACCCCCTTCCTAGACTTAGAACAAACACCGCCCTTCGGCCCTTCCCACCACAAGTGAAAAGAGCACAGGTGAGGTTCCTAAGTTAAGTTTTGGTTTGCCTAATGAAATACTAGTCCGTCCAACGGACTAAGTCTCCAACCAAGCGTGCAGATATCCAGGGGGGCAAGCAGAAGAGGTCGTACAGGATCAGAAAAAAAATCCAAGCACAGAAGGCAGTAAGCATAGAAAAGCTAACGATCTAGAAGCAGAGAGAGACAGATCCGCTGTGCGCCACGGAGGCAAGGGAAAATCCAGACAGTCACGTTAAAAGCAGAACCTCAGTTGAATAGGATAACTTAGGCAGGGGTGAAGAGTGGTACATCCTTCCTTCGGGAAGTACTCAATGCTGTCCTTCAGACCTCCACACCATAAGGGGGAGGAGCGTGAGGGTGTAATCTTTGTGATCCCTTCAGACTTGCCGGTGGAATAGGAACCGGACTGATGCTCCCCAGAATGGAAACGGAGCCGGAAGGTTCTGTTTTTCTATTAAAAAAAAAAAAAAAAAAAAAACCTGATGGTACAGTAACTGTAATCTGTTGCTCAGTAACTGTAAGCTGTTGCTCAGTAACTGTAAGCTGTTGCTCCATAACTGTAAGCTGTTGCTCAGTAACTGTAAGCTGTTGCTCCGTAACTGTAACCTGTTGCTCAGTAACTGTGGGTTCCTGAATGTTAGTAACTGGAATATATGAGGGCTCCAGTAACTTTCAGCTGTTGTGTAGTAAATGTGAGTTTCTGTCTGGTGACTGGAACTTGCCACCACCTTCTTCCCCCAAACATTGTCAACGTATCTGCCCTGAAAGTTGGACTACATACGACTTTCCTGACTGGGCATTGCGTTCAGGGGGGGAAGGTACTACTATCGTAAATGCCGGAATTTGGGTCCAGAGGCTCTCCTTGTTTGGGCCCGGTTCCGCTGGGTCCCAAGGGTCCCACGTAGGTCTCAACAAGGTCCCAACCAAGAAGAGTCCTACCTGAACTTAGTTCAGTCTCAACTGCACTAAAAAACGAAATTTCAACTTCTGGCAGAACCTACAGACTACAACCGTTCAGTGATGAAAAGACAAAGCACTGTAGAAAGACTCGGCATGTATAACAAGATACTTCATTTTCCATTCATCAGGTGAGTGGGTAGATCACATGCATCCAGTCACACAATCAAGACCACAGAGGAGTAGGAAAAGAAACCAAGAGTACCCCAGCAGGACTATCAATACCATACACACATACATGGGCATCCTGTAGGTGCACGACACTTACCTGAGTGGCCTTGAGCTTCGAGATGAAGAGAACTCACCCCCCTTCTCGTATGGTCCTCCTGATCCATCTAACGCTACCCCTACACTA